ACACTGTGTGTCTGCCACTCAGGAACTGTCTCTCTAGTTTTCAGGGCTGTAGATATTCTGCTCTTTAATCCGACACTACCACCATTTTTTTCTGGGGCCTGCTGCTAACGCTGGGAGGGTGTGGGGCAGGCAAACTCTGGGAGGTTGGGGGGAGGTGACTAGACTCTGTGGCTTTGTTTACTGACTGCCTGGCAGTGAGGGCTCTTAGTTATCACACTTCTGTATTTGGTCTTTGCCCTGAGGTCCCTGCCCTGAGCACTGGGTTCAGCCATATTATATGCTGATCCCTCAGGTAGAATTGCTGGGGCCACAGAGAATGCACTTACAGTCTCAATTCTCCCCTCTTCCGGGACTACAGTGAGCAACGGCTGCATCCTGCAGCACCCGTCTCTGCACTTCCCCCTTCTCTCCTCCCGTTTGCCCCAATTTGCCCACCTTTAGATATTTCAATGAGGTCTTTCAAACATGTTTCTGTGTTGCCTAGGGAATCCTTTGTTGAATTATAGCTTTTCAATTTGTTGTAACTTCAAGGGGAGATGTCAAGAAGCACCTCTCATGCCACCATGTTTCTGACATCCTCCTCCATCTTTAATTTTCAATCTTTAGTATACTTTTACTTCAAATATATCTTTTATAGATATTGGTACATCTTTTAAAACCCAACCTGGGAAGATATGGGGAGGCAGGGAATGTCAGTGTCTATGGAGAATATGAATAGATGAAATAGATGTGCAGACCTTCAATTGAGCCAATAATGCAGCTGTAGGTAGAGGTATTTCAAGGTGGAGGGGCTTCCAAGAGGAGTTCATAATGGACTTTCTTAATTTACTCCAATCCAAACAAGTTGATGCCTTGGGAGTTAGGCCTAATCCAAAAAGGCTTAATATTCTTTCTGACAGAGCTGAGGTGATCAGCGTGTGTCCAGCTGTGCCTTATTCCAATTGGAAAAGGAATACTCACAGGTTGGAGAAGAGTTTCCATCCTAGGAGGGTTCAAAGACAACCTTCATATAATACCGGGGAAGTGAACGACAAAGGAAGGACAGCGATCCTTAACCATGGCATTGTTGAGCATCCAAATGCTCGCTCTGGTCTACATTCCTTAAGTCATTGTCCAACAGCTCAAGGGGTTAAAAGCTTTTTGAAAAAACTAGCTCCTTTCCACAGAACTGGCAGGTGGAGAGATAATACAGATGACCCAACTGGAATACGCTAAAGTCAGAGACATATGCTTCATACAGTAATGAGAAAATACTCAAAATAAAGGGCAGGCTGGCTACTGAACTAGAAAAAGATCCCTAATAAAAAGTTAGGCCTGCTAGAGTGGGTGAGACAAAACTCAGTGCACAACTGCCCTTCCTTGATGTCGAAGCATGGGGGAGAGTACGGCAGGAATGCACAGGATGTGCAAACACTTATGAATTCTAGTACAGATGCTCTGGCAGGATTAAGAGGAAGCCACTCATTATTTCCCTGATTCGAAAATGCCGTATCTCATTTCTAACGCTTAAGCTAGTGTGTGGCAAATGTTGTAGAGAACAGAATTAGACATGATCCCCAAAAAATAAGAGGCATTCAATTGCGGACTTCTTCAGGTGATAGATCATGTAGGACATTTTCAATACAGAGCTATAAAGGATGGATATAATACACATACAAATACATACGTATACATATATGGTAGACCTCCACAAAGAAATCTATGAGCCATAATTTCAAGAGATTTTCTTCTTTTTCTACCTGTAGCAAGTAAACAATGATATGAGATCCTTTGGGGGAAAAGGGAAGGATGATTATCTCTTTAATCTTCCTAACAACCCTGAGGCAAGAAGCAAGTGTTACCATCTCCCACTTACAGATGAGTCTGGCTACAGTTTTCTTGCCTATTGCCTCACGAAGGGTGCAGGAAGGATGGGAGTGTGCTGCTCTGTTCTTGAACTGATTAGAAGGAATTAAAGCTGGTGGCTTTAGAACCAGCAGATGCACAAACACATCTTGGTACCATACATTTTAAAAACACATCAAGGGACACCTTTTAAACCAGTGACAATAGTTCCTATTCCTGTTTCTAATCTGATTGATTCCTCTTTTGGGGTTTGTTTTTCACCAAATATTAGGCTTGGTAATGAGGACTCTGAAAGCCAAGAGCCCCAGATCCTACTGCAGAACCCCAGCACGACTTTCTGTGAAAATGCTAATAAATTATTCAGTTTTGCCTTGAAGCCACTGAATAACTGGGACTAAATTGGAAGCTGGTATCTCAAAAAAAAATTACCCAGTGCTCCCACATGGGAATACTATTTACCCTGAGAACTGGTAAACCCCACCCAGCAAGTCCACAGGAAATTGGCATTTTGTCCCTGCCAACAGGTGGCTCACGTCAAAGTCGGGTTAACTTTTTAATGTCCATTTTCAGCCTGCTTTCACCAAGCCTGTCTAGTAATTGCCTTGTCCTGAAAATCCAGTTCTAATCTACTAGGCCTCCTGACAGACAACAAAGAGGAAAACAGCAGGTGAAAATAAGAGCGAGAAGCACCTAAAGGACCTTTATACAGTGTGTGTTGCTGTTGAGCCTGGCAAGTCGTCTTGGAGGCAGGCCTTGATGTCTGTTCTGTGGGTGAACGAACGGAACGGCCTTTATTAACACCTACAATGAACTAGGCAAGATGTCATGCCCTTTTCTTATTTCAATTTATCCTCCCAACATCCTCTACATAGTCCAGTGAACCTTCCTTGACAGATGTGGGGTAACTACAGCTCAGGTTTACGGACCCGACTGAGGTTACTTGGCTAGAAAGTGGCTGAGTTAGGATTCGCCTATGTCTTTGCTTCCCAAATCTCACACTCTTCTCACACCATACCCAAGATGTCCTAAGCAAGAATACCAAAAGGGTTTAATAAGAAGCCCATGGAACAGATATTCATCCTTGATGGCCATGGAGTGCGGCTCCTCTCCCACTGAGCAACATGTGGGCGACTGAGAGGGGCGTTTAGATACCCAGTGGGGAAAGCTGAAGTCACATCCTGTTTGTCTAAAGATGGCATCTAAGGTTATTCATGTGAATTCTTAGCAGGCGAGGACTGTGCACTCACACCTGGGCAGGAAAGGTTTCTTTAGACTGGGAGAGTGAAAAGGAGGAATCAGTTTAAGAGGTAATAGATCTTAATGATCAAGAGCATGAACTCTGGAGCCAGGCTGTCTGGGTTTAAATCCCATCTCCCATTTTGCTGCAAAATAATCCACGGTGTGTGTGCATGTGAGGGTGTTTGGGTGTGGGGGGCAAGAGAGATGATGAGCGGGAGTGGCCATGTTTGGTGTTTGCGGATGGGGGCCAATGGGTACATGAGATAGACTGCAATACCCCATTGTTGTGCTTGAAATTTCACATAACAAAAGCATAAAATAAACAAACATGAGCTCCTCCACTTACTACTTGTATGACACTGACAATTTCTTGGCCTGCCTCAGTTTCTTCATCTGTAAAATTTAGTACCAACAGTACCTACCTCATAGAGTTATATGAGAAATAAATGCGTTAATACATGTAAAATGCTGAGCTATTACTATTTATAGAGTAACTTCTAGGTCCCAGGTGCCAGACTTGGTTAAACAAATATACTATTTCCACTGATTGTTCCCAACGATCCTATGATGCAAGATAACCTCCATTTTCACATGATGACGTGGCCTCAGAGGGGTTCCAGGGCAAAATCCACATAAAAACACAGGTTTGCTTTAAAAGCTTTGTTTTCTACTAAATAGCCCACTTCCCTAAAAGTGCCTTTACCAGCTATTTACAGATGGAGAAACTGAGGCTTAGTGGGTTTATGTAATCCAGTTCTGAGCGGTAAGCTGAGCATTACATACAGATCAAGCAATTTACACCTGCAGCCTGGGCTCTTTCCACTGAAGGAAGGACGGGCGGTCCCTGCACAGGTCTCACGCATCCACGCTCCTGAGGCAGGAGGGCGAAGGGCTCCATATTTCAGCCGAGGGTGACTGTGAAGAGCAGGGATAGCCGCAGAATCTTACTCTTCCCTCCGCCCTGAATGCGACCACCAAGCACAGAGCCTCCTAATGGAATCAAATACGGGGGAGGAAAATAGAAACCTAAGAGGAACTTCATAGGAGCAGCCTCTGCATTTGATGCATTTTTTAGTAAATCTCTTTCCAGGGCCGGGGCACTTGATTGAGCATAAGACGCACGGTGTCTCCCGCTGAGACCAGCTCTCACGGAGTGGCCCACAGAGCCCCGTCAGCACTGCGAATCCCAGGATCTCTGAGTATCAGCTGGAGTCCTTCCTTTCAGCAGCTGCTTGTCTTCCTGAGAGACTCACTCCAAGAGCCCCCGAGGCCCCAGTAACAGCCTAGCCATCAGTAAGTGAATCAGGCAGCCTCCTAGACTAGAAAAGCTCTTTTCCCCCCACACATCTCTATAATCAGCAATGACAGGAGAACAGGCACACTGGGAACGGTCACCAAAAATCTGACTTCCAAAAAGTGGCCTCTCCATCAGGACCCAGGACAGGGCTAACAACGCCTTTACAATACAATGAAACAACCCTGCCAGCAAGGCCAATTTGCAGTAAAAACTCAGCGGGACTGCCAACAATTTGCATCCTTTCAGCAGGAACAGAACTGAATCTGACCTTTACCTCCAGGACCACTTCTGTGTTGCTGTTTGCTAACGGGTGTAAAAAGCACTTGTGGTCATATTCCAATTAAAACTCTTATTTTTGCCAAGACAGACCAATTCACATACCCTTTCTACCCCTCTCAAGAGTTTCTCAGTCTTAAAATGATCCAGTCAAAAAGCACCATTTTCCTGGAGGTGAGTCACAGCCAGGAGTGAAGCGGAGAGGTGGAGAAAGCTTCAGGAAGGAGGGCGTGGAGGGGAGGCGGACAGAGGCCTGGAAGGAAGCCCCAGAGACAGACGGCGCCTCCCTGCACTTCACAAAGAGCAAGGCCGCCTCCTGGCAAAACAAGACCAACATCCAGTGGAAGGCTATTATCTCCTTTATTCAAAAAATAAATATTTCACTTTTGAGTCGACATATCTCAAATCACATTAAGCAACAAGAAGAAATACAGTCCCTTTGGAAATTGTGAACACATGTAGGAAAAGAGTCATGTTCAAATCAGTGGGGATGGGATGAGCACTGATTCCAACTGAGTCATGATTCAGGGGTTCCTCCTCTCACCGGGTAGAGCTACAGAGCAATTTTGGGAGAGAAAAAGAAACACACACACACACACACACACACACACACACACACACACACACACGGCTTGGCAGTCTGAAAGGCACATGAAGTGGACCATAAGGTGTATGGCACATTCACTGATAAAATGCTCCCTATTCCCTCCCGAGAAAAGTGGAAAAACTTTAATAAAGTCAAAGACCAGAGAAGACAGGGCGCTCCTGCCTGGAGCTCAGCATCAGGCAAATCTCTGAATACGAAAGCCATTTTTCTTTTGCTTTCCCCCTCCCCTGGTGCTCATTCGGTGACAGTGGGGCGCGTGGCCACATACACGAACACGACGATGAGGAGCACCACCACGGCCAGCGTGGGCAGCACCACCGTGGTGATCTGCTGCCGGGCCTCCTGCATGGCCTGCTTCCGCTCCTTCTTGTCCTTGGACGTCTCCTTCTTGGGCTTGCCTTTGAGCTGCCGCATCTTCCCTAGGGGCTGCGAGGAGGGCAGGTCCAGAGAGGGCTCTGAAGGAAGGCTCACACTCCTCTGCTCAAGCTGCAGAACCTCTTGTGTAGAGAACTAGGATCAGGAACGAACAGAGTGAAAGGAATACAAATCGTCAAGTTAAAGGCACATGCTAAACCAGAAAAAGTATCTGCAACTAATGAGACAAGGGGTTAAGAACAGCAGAGGTCAGCCCCTCTAAGTGGTGGGCAGTGGGGACGAGCTGGATACACCCCAGGATTCCACCTCCACCAGCGTGTCCCAGCGGGCATGCATGGGTGTGCTGCGAATGGTCGCCGGTGTGCTGAGATAGCACCTCTGCTGTGGGTAACTACAGAGCAACAGCTCCAAACAAGTCTGATTCTTAGCTTTAAGCAACAGAAACAGATTTCCGCTGATTTCAATTGAAAAGGCGTTGACTCAAAGGCCTCTGGCATCTCACAGGATCCCCAGAAAAGCCAGAGGTCCAGACTCAGGAAATGAGCAAGACTGGGGAGCTGTGTAGCCATCACTGGAGCCTCAACTCATACCACAGAACACGAGGTTGGCACAGGTTGTATCACCTGAACATTGCCACTGAAGCGGAAGACCCTGAGGCCACTGCCACTGCCCCTAGAAACTAGACAAAGCTTCTGTCCCTGCCTCCGGGATGACTTCTCCAGCACGGTCCCTGGCTTTTCTGTGTCACCAGCTCATTGTGCATCTGACCAGCCAAGCGGAGGCCCAGTAAGCCCAAAGCCCAGCCTTCCAACATCCATAGTAGGCGAAGTGTTTTCTAAACATAGTGAAGGAATGGGGGTTGGATATGGAGCAGGGCAATTTAAAAAAAATGTCCATCATAATATCCTGGGAGATTAGCATGGATGCAGACGTTCCTGGAGGCAGAAGAGCAGTGTATGCCCATATTCCTCTAACGAAGAGGCTATTGTAACAAGATACCGTGTGCCCAGTTTTGTCCCAGGGCAGTAGGTGGTTTGTCACCAACTGATGAGAAAGATGACATTTACACCTAAGTGACCATGTTAAGTGGCAGAATGTGAAACATGAATTGAGTTGGGAAAGGTCTTGTATGATATCTTCCTGTTGGCAGACAGATCCTAATCTCTTTCTATGCCTCTCATCCCATATGGGCCCCCCAGACCTTTTTTTGTATTATCCACATCATGCAAAGTTTCTTTTGGGGCAAGATGACTAATATTGCACTGGGATGACATAATGCCAGCGAAAAGCAACTATTAAAGTTCAGGGAAACCCCATTTGGGTAAACGTACAATTTCCATTCGGCTTTTAAAAAATACCCACTGTTACTTTGTTAAGACCTGACAGACAGATGTAGGAACACTTGGATTTACCAATTCTCCTTTTCAAATCTTCCAAAGAACTTTAGACAGACCCGGGTTCAAACCAAGAATGCTTCTCTTACTGGCTGAACGGCTTGGGGCAAGTCACCTAACCTCACTAGGCCTCCAGGTCATCATCAGAACAATGAGAACACTTCTCTCATACAGGATGACTGCGAGGATTTGAAAACGCACAGGTATGTGGTGCTCTGTCGGTTCACAGGGAAGCGTCCAGGCTGGCTGAGCCAGGCAGCGCCGACTTCCTCTCGCCCCACCACTGGCCCACTCTGGGACCCTGGGAAGAGCTCAGTGAGCTTCTATAAGCCTCACCACCGCCGGGGACATGGTAACACAGGCAGGGGCCCCCTTGCAGGACCATGGTGAGGATGAGACAAGAATTTGGGTAACGTGGTACGTGGCATAGAGAAGGCCCTCGATCCATGGTAGCTGACACTACTGGAGCGTACCCCAGCAGTCTGAGTCAGGCAGAGCAGGCTGATGGCCCCCACTTTAGAGATGAGGAAACCAAGGAGCAAGAGGAAAAATACTAAGTCGCCCAGCCTGTAAATACTATCAGGGGCTTCTATCAGAGCAATGGACAGCATCCCTACTCCAAAGCTATGAGCCACGGTCCATTTTCTCTCTGACATATCCTCACAAAATTGTTTTAAATGAGACAAGCCACTAAAAGCACTCTAATTTGTAGCCATTTTCCCGTGGAGTTAATGGCCTGTCTGGCCTGTGAAAAAAAAAAAAAAAAAGGAGGGCCCCGCTGTGGCCCCTCACAGGACTGGACATAAGCAGGAAGCAGCGGGGACCCCAGCGTTAAGAGGGGCCCCAGCCACTGTGGCTAACAGCACAGGCCCTGGCTTTCATCCTGCTCCTTTAGCTGCTGTCTGCATCTTGTCACGTATGTGCAGTTGACATTCAAAGGCACTGGCCTCCGTGATGACCAGCTCTTGACATTTGTTAAGAAGCAGTCAGAAGTTCTTGGAGCCTTAGAAAAAAAGCCTCAAGTTGCAGGCAATGATACAGGTTTGGTCAGGGTTTACGGGACAAACACAGTGCTCTGAATTCTGGGTTCTTCGTTAGGCTAATGGGCGGCCTCCCTGCTTTCACTTAACTATGGTGCAGGTCTCAAACCACAGCCCCACACTCTCCCTGGGCTGAAAGAGTCAGGGAAAGCATCTGAGATGACAACTGAGGACAGGGAAAGGGATCAGCTAGGACAAAGGTGGGGAAGGGCAGCAGGCAGAGGGAGTGGAAGAAGCCCGGAGGACAGTGACGGGATGAACCTGGACAGCGTGTAGAGGTCAGGTCATCCAGGGGCTTGTAGACCGTGATAAGAAGTCAGGTTTTATTCTAAGAGCATGCTCTAGCTGCACCAGTCCAGTCCATGGAGAACAGGGCACAGGGAATGAACAGGGAGACTCCTGGAGCAGGCCAAGAAGAGAGGGGGTGGCTCTGAGGAGGAAGGTCAGTGTTGATGGAGAGGAAGATAGTCTGGTTGTATTTGGGGGGGTACAACTGACAGGACCTCCTGACAGATTAGACACGGCACATGAGGGAAAGGGCGGAATCACAGGTGGACCTGAGGTTTGCAGCTTGAGCAACTGGCTGGGTGGTGATCCCGCCTCATGAGACGAGGGGCAGGGGGGAGAGGTGGGGAGGGAGATTTGAGAAAGAACATTAAGTGCTCTGTTCACACCTATCCACGTGTGAGGATGCCTCTTAGACATTGCCATGGAGATATCAAGGAGGCGGTTGAAGAAATGAGTCAGGAGCTCCGTCTGGGCTGAAGATCTATTAATATATTTGGAAGTCATCAGCTACAGGCTGAGGTGAGCTCACTAAGGGCAAGGCAGGTGGAAAAAAGGCCCAGAGAGGGCCCTCCAGCACCTGACAGAGGACAGGTGGAGGAAAGCAAACAAAAGAGGCAAGTGAAGAAAAGAATGCAAAGTCCTGGGGACCAAGAGAGTCAAGATGGGCCCTGCTTCAAAATGCTCTTGAGTGACAAAGCGAAGATAAAAGCAGCATAGACTGGATTGGGCAACGTGGAGACATGACGCAAGTAACTTCAGTGGAGTGAGAATTCCAATGGGGGCTACTAAAACTGTCACTTCTCTGAGAGAGAAGCTCATGCCAGAATGTAAATGAACACACAGCTTCCTCCATTGAGAAAGTTGTGCCATGAAAATAAAACATGTCAGCTGAACTAAATTATGCCAAGTACACAGCTGATTTACATTCTGGGGCGAACTCCTTGTAATGACTTGTGACAAATGGTTCGCACGCCAACACTTTGACTAGCACTTGGAGAGACAACTAATCTGAAGTTCTCCTGGAAGAGCATGCGGGCCCAAGAGAGAAACTGGAGGATGTGTGCAAGGTCCAACAGAATGCGAAAAAACCCTAATGATGAGAAAAAGAGGAGACAGCTGTAGGAGCAAGGTGAGGGCACAAAAGAACAGCTTCGCCTTTCAAAGAAGCAAAGGCACAACTCTGAATCCAACGGGAGGCAAGGTAGGGAAGGTGGGTATAGACAGGGGTAGGGCTGTCGGTGCTGCGCGGTGGGAACACGAGCTTCTATTTTCTCAGAAAACAGGAAAGGGTTTCTGCTTCAAGTCTGGGGAGCTGGGAGGCAGGCTTGAGGAAAGAGAAGGCATGAAATAACCATCTTGGAGGGTGGCAAAGCAAACTTAGCAAAGTAACACCAGCCCTCACAGTTGACATTCTAAAATGCTTAATATCCAGGCCCCACCTCTTCCTGCGCAGGCTGAGGACCACCTACCATAGGGTCTGGCCTCAGCCCAATGGACCAGGAGGCCTGTTGGGCCAGGGCTGGCTCATCCAGGCTGCCAGAACCTTTAAAACGTGTGCTCTGCCTTGAAAACATGAGCTGGGCCAATCAGCCTCTATTTCAGAACTCTAAGAAACACAGCGGGACACTGAAGTTGGACAATCACATAGATGTAGGCGCCGTGGAAGCCATTAGGATGCCATTTGCGGAAGGCAACAGAGGAAGCCAGGTGCGGGAGAAAAGAGGGAACAGACAGGAGGACCACTGAGACTCGAAGAGAGGGGACTCTGCTCCTGACTTTCTAGTGCAGTCCTTGTAAGGCCCAGCTCATAAAGCCTCCTATGTTATGCTGACGTGTCCTGCATCTTATGACAGACACCTCTTTTAACTTGAACTGGCTCAAGTGGGTCTCTGTATCTTCCAATGAAAAGAGCCCTGGCTACAGTGATTACTCCTGCTTTACAAATGGGACATCCAAAGCCTTGCCACCGTCACAAAATTAGGGAGTGGCAGGGTCAAAGGTCAAACCCACATCTGCCTAACCCCAACTACTAAATAGTCCCATCCTTCTGTGCCCGCTCCACCTCTCTTCCTGGCCCCCTTTACCCACTTTGGAACCATCTCTTTGCTCACGAGCCCCTGGCAGAGAGGAAGTCAAACATAAAGCTCATACGGCAGCCCAGGCAGGACGGAGAAGCCACTAGCCAAGTTCCAGCTTTACAACTGCAGCTGCCACCTGACCACCCCACTGCCTGTAGCTTCCCTAACCAGGGAAACAAAAGACTTCACAAACACTTGAGTTCCATCTGCTCTGTCCCCTCCCCCACCAATACTGATGGCAACTGGTCAGCACTGGACAATTCAACTGGTCCCCAGTGTGTATGGGCAGGGGGCAGAGAGGAAGACAGGGACATCCTTTCAGACAGAACTGATTT